TTCTACCAGCACGTTGTAGAATCTAATTTTTGGTGTTAACGTCACTGGTGCAACAAGCCAAGCGGATCATAACATGAACTGGCAACCGACGACAGATATTACGTCTTGTCGTACCTTTGTGACCGGAGATTTACATCAAACGACAAAATGATTCATACTTATACCATTCACTGTAACCCAAGTGTTGCTCACATGACGATTTCGTTGTCAGGTCATTTTTTCCTTTGACTTGAGCTCGATCCGCTTCCGGGATCGAATTCATTTGACATGTTCATCAAATAGAGGAGCCACTTTGTCAGTCTGAAGCCCATAAAGAAAGAAGTTCTTCATTTTCTGCGGCAAGTCTTATTCCGAACTAGAGCTAATCTGCTTTAAGAGGTATCACAAGAAAATTTTATCGTATTGCGTCTTCCGCTTTCTTGACTGAGATTTATAAGTATTTTTCATTGCCGTGCGCTTTCAAGAGCCGCAAACTTGGTGAAGAAGTAAGTCACACATATAAGATGGAACGTTCATACTGAATCCTTTGGTTCCATGTGAAAATTTCTTGAAGGCCACCAAAGGAATATTAAAGAATTCCTATCATGCTCACATTAATCTTACTGAGTGAAACATGGCTTTCTATGTCGCAAGCCAATGATACTGGGCTGCCGGAACCAGCATTTAAAGTACGCCAGTAATACTGTTAGTTTTAGGTCGGGAAACTTGAAAGATTGTCATTCATGATGTGCTGATCTTAGCAGCACAGTCAAAAGACAACTCTTACCTTACCCGCTTCTTTGGGTTAAAAACTGGAGTATGAGGTGATCCAAATCGTCGGGTATTATGCATCCCGTCTGGATCTAATAAGGAAGCATAGCTCTATCAATATAACCATATCACCGTTTCTTTTACATTATCAATAACTTTTTCCTCTTGAAAGTTTATCGGATATAAATAGAGATAGTCTTACGGGTAGACTACCTTCACGTTATGTTGGAAGACTTCGTCTGGGGTTTCCTTCCACGGGACAATTTGTAATGAGTTTTCCTTTATTCTACTGTACTTTCGAATTCTGAAGTGCACAGTACGGTTCTTCCTTGTGACTCCTGGTGCACGGCTCTTGACATCGGGAAGATCGGTTGACCCATATAACCTTAATGTTTTGCAACTGTGTACTAGAACAACACTGAATTGATACTGCGGTTTGATCATTTGAACAGATCCATTACATGTGGGTCCTATATATCCAGGCTAATATTGACTAATGCATAGGCTCACCGTATATGTCCCGACCTTCGCTCTCTTGTCCCCAGATGCGTCTAGGTCGGTTGTGCATTCCCCAAGCTAATCACTGTTGTTTACTATCAATTTTTGTTAAAAATATAGTTATATAAATTTAGATACAATTAAGGTGTTCCACTACTGTATGACTAGTCTGAGGCAATAGACTGCAAGGATATGGCAGGTTTTATACAGACATACCTTTGAAGGTATGGGCAGACCATTTAATGCACTATACTGATTATTTTTATATCTTTGCCATTTATAATTTTACCAGACTATGTTCACCGTGGTAGTTAACGTGGAACTTACATGGTTTCTTGATTCAACGTCTAAGACAGTTCAAGACGCGTTTTACAAGGCTTTCGCTACAAGGTTCGCCTTCACTCCTTCATCAAGGAGAGCGTACTTTATCTACATGCATGTTTTTGTTCCGACGGAACGACAAGGAAGAATATGCGGTAACTTACTCTTGTTTTCGTTTACACTCGCTTCGGAAGCCGCAACATATTATCCTCACTGAAATGTTGTTGATTTTACTAGAATCTGGTGAAACATTGTATATGTTTCCCGGACACTCCTGAACCTCACAAAACTAATATGTGCCTACAAATTTTAGCAACATGTTTGATATATATATAGTTACTTGAACAGTTTGTCACATAAATAAAATTTTTTTGCTCTCTTGATAACATCAGTATATTTGAAATCAATATATAGGAGCGAAACTCTGCGACATTGCCTTAATTTTATGGAGCACTTTTTAAACATAAAACATGATAAAGTCGCATAGCGGAATTTCTCTAAGGGAGAATTTACCTGAATTCTTACTTAATAGAAGGCCAGTGGACAGTGATACTAATTTATTAGGCTGAGATAGGGTTAATGTTGGGAAATTTTCTTTGCGAAAGTTCGCTGGATTTGTTTTGTGACATCATTCGCGAAGTCATAACATACATTGGATATTTGGCTGCACTTGAAGCGTGTCCTCACGAAGGGTATAGAACTGGTTAAAACTTGGTCGAGAGCATGCCTCTATAGGGTCTACTTGCACGTTCGACCCCTGGGAACTCGAGATGTGAAGTGGAAGTCTCTCTAACCATTTAGTGCGTAGGAGTTTTTCGCGGATTTCACATCGAACATAAACCTAGACTGTGTCAGAGGTCATATGACATATTCTCCATAATGGAGTTGACAGTTTCTTAGACCATTTAAAAGCGTCATTACTTTATATATGGCACGTGCATTTTAATAAATTATCGTCACATGGACGGGCCACAATGTGGTTTACCGTACTAATTTAAGGATTTCTTTAGCCTTAATAAGCTTTCGTCGCTGAGCAAAATTACAACGTTATTCTTCGATACAATAATTTTGCTTCACCGACACATTGAATTATATTTAATTAATTTAATCTATTTGTCAACTTATCCCTTGTCCTTCGATTTGTTTCAGAATTGCTGGATATTTCAATAATTCAGTCAGGATTCCCAACTAAACTTAAATTAACTCCGGTTATAATGGTACCAATTAAACGTTATTGAGTATAAATTTGGTCTTGATGGTAATCATTCAAAAGATTTTCACTAATTGTATTGTCAGGTAAGTCCTTTACGTAATTTTCAACCTGAACATCGGTTGCTGGCTCGTCAGGTAAGGATAGCACTCCACCATCGTCGGAATCTTCTTCTTCCATCTCAGCTAGTTCTAGCTCGTGCCGGGCCGACTGCAGTTCGAGCTCCCGGCGAGCCTCCTCGCTTCTGCACTCTGTTTCTTGTTTTTCTTTCAGCTGACGGAGGCGCAGTGCTGCCCTCCGCTTGCGTGAGGCTGTAGAGCTACACGTTTCAACGGAATTTGCACAACTCGTGTATTCTTGATTCTTCTCCATATTCACTTCAGCTTCGTTGCTGGTTACATTACTTGCCATCTTTAGATGATACGGAATATATGTTTACGAATATAATCCAAATAAATACGGTTTTAATCCAATTAACTTTCACCTTTTCGTTAATAGATTATGTTCAATAACTGTAGGATAACACGGTGTTCAATAACTGTAGGAACTATACTGTTCAATAACTGTAAGAACACAGTGTAGGTTACGTGGGTGGCTGAGAGAGAACACGTTAATACGGGTGTTCGCTTCGACTGTTCACCAAATTACAAAGACACTACGACACAGTCGTAATGGGCAGCTTCACTAAGTTTAGGCAACAAAAAGATGCAATTCACGCGCTATATTTTCCACTTTTATTCCAGAAACAACACATAGTCTAAGGAGTATATAGTGTATCTAACGTATATAGCGTATATAGCGTAGATAGCGTAGATAGCGGTTATCTGAAAGTTAAACAGTTATACTTCCATTAATAACAATTAAAACAACATACAAAGAATGCATACATACTTACAAATAAACAAGTCACATAATTATATAATTCATCCTTAACAAATACTGTGGGAATCCTGCTGCTAGTAATGTTAACAAAATTTATTAATTGATAGAATTACAGATTATTTACTTTTCAACATCAAAACTTTAACTAGGATACAGTTTTATCTATCTTAACATAAAATTGTAAATGTATTTACCTTAACAATAATAAATGTAATTATTTTAGAACAAAAATTATTTTTAAACAATAATTTTTTCCGAACGAAGGCAAATAAAAAACAAAAATAAACTTACTGAACAATGGTATCTGTGCCCGAAACTTAATAAATAGAAATTCACAAGATTTGTACTTCACATTCGAAATCTTATTTTCAAACTGCGCCTTGGAAAGGCGGCAAATTTTGCATTTGCATATAATTATTATTTCTAGGGACAGTTTTGACCAACCAAAATGCAGGAAGCGCCCTCTAAGAAAATAAAAGTAAAACTTGATTTCTAAATATGGGGATCATTGTAATTTCAGGGAAGCTAGTCTTGGAGGGAAAGAGCGCATAAATAAACTGGCTGGAACGTTTGGCATGATTTTGAAACAAAACATATTTCTAAACATTTTAACGGTCCTCTGATATTAAACAGCACAACATCGAGTCTGGACAAAGAAAATACAGAATTCAATCTATTTAGAAGTTATTTAGTTTATAAAGTCATATATAAGGTGTAATCTTTCAACTCTTATTTTGAAGATAATAAATTAACGCGAGGAATTTATGTGATGAAAGAATACTATGACATAACAATATTTTTTAGAACAGAAGCTAATTGTCGAAATTTTGTAAAATGACGTTGTGATTATTGTGTGCACTTTGTTCTTCATGGTAAAAATGGATCATATTACAATTGTTTGGCCATTCATATTGAGGATTTTTATTGCATTATTACAATCTCCATACATTCATACAGTCATCTGATCGCTGTTAGAAAGATGATGATCTATATAGAGAACAAACTTTAATGAAATACAGTAGAACTTCGGTAAGTCGAAGTTGAAAGGACAGCGTAAACTTAAACACATCTGGAACATCTGACTCATAAATCAATCTAAATTTAATAAAAAAAAATCGAACTGTTGACGTTTTTACAAGCAAGTTAACAAAAAGGCTTAAACAAAAAGAAAGGGTGATTACTAACCCAGCTTTTTATAGTAAACATATTCTTGTGTGGATTATCACGCCAACATCAGGTCACAGAATTACTCAATGAAAGTACATGTAGTTATTACTGTTTTACTTTCAAATACCACTACGGCATAGTTGTTATCCGGAACTCGACCGATGTGGGTTTTTCCAATACGATATCAACGTGACCCGGTACAAACAAAGATCAGCTGATCGCCATATTGTAATATCGTCGTATCAAAATGCCAACTAAAAGATGTTCGTGGGGGACTTGTAACAGCGACAGCCGATACTCACACAAGGATTGGATGAAGGATGTTTCTTTTCTTCCCTTCCCTAAGCCAGCGATTGACTTGGAGAGGTGTCGTCTGTGGATTAAACAGTGTGGTCGTCCCCACAGCGACTTGTCAGTTGACAAGATCAGACCTCATCACTTTGTTTGTTCGAAGGTGAGAACTTCAATACAGTGTATTTGTTGTCGTACTATTTCTGAGAATATTTTATCTTTGTCTCGCATTACTGTCTGGTCCGTTTCCAACTGCCGACTGATTTCCATGAGAAAATTTTGAGTGGGTGGGGTAAAAAACCCAAAGATATTTGTCAATTTGATCCGGCCGTTCCAATATGTGTTTCATATAGAAATGTTTAAGATATTTTCGATTTCATTTATTTCTGATTTTGTGTTGATATATTTAGTTACTGGTATTGATCTGATGGTTCTTGATGCACATTATTCTTAGGCTAATGGAGATAGATGTATGTACATGTACTGTATAGGATCTGATAGCCTATGCACCAATGCCAAGTTCACATTTATTTTTCCAAAACATAATTTGGGTTGCATCCTCTGCTTTTTAGCTTACTTATGAGTAGATCTACCAAAATAGAAATAAATTATCAAAATATTTTAAGTTTTCTTGATATAATTTCAGCATTTCTTTCTTGAATCTGGATAAATAGTGCAAGTGCATACATTATAATGTGGTGTATATTTTGTATTTCAGCACTTCATTGATGGAAGTAAAGATCCGGTAGCAGCTAAATATCCATCTGCATCTACACCCAAAGCCAGGTCAGACAGGAAGAGGCCAGCTGAGTCCTTACCAGTAACACCAAAGATGAAACAGAAGCATGCTGACCAACCTTTAGATCTACCAGGTGTGCAGACTGAGAACATTAGTGATACAGTGATTACTCTCCCCATGTTTCATGACATTCTAGACTCAAATCCTTCTTGTAATTCTGAAAATGATCTATGTTGTGAAGAAAATGTTAATGTCAATGATCAGAACAACAATGTTACATCTGATAACACATCAATTTGTGCAAGTAAAGATAAGTTTTTTGTAGACAATGTGACAGAAAATGACAAAGACTGTTTCTATTATACTGGTGTTCCAACTTTAGTTCTATTACATTTCTTATTTTCATGGATTAAACCTTCAGCTCAGAAAATCAAACTGTGGGATGGAAAGAGAAAACATTTGCCAGGAAGAAAAGGTGGTAGACAGAATAGGAAACTGTCTCTTTTTCATGAAATGATTTTGACTCTTGTTAAGATTAGAAGAGGCTATGGCAACAAACATCTCTCTTATCTATTTCATGTATCTGAAAGTCATGTGTGTCGCATTTTTCTAGCTTGGGTAAATCTGTTGAGTCAGTGCCTCAGTCCACTCATTATCTGGCCTTCTAAAGAAATAAACAAGGCAAACTTACCAAAGAGCTTTTCAAATTATCCTAGAACCCGGGCAATTATTGATTGCACTGAATATTATGTTCAAAAACCTCTACGTCCTGCAGCTCAGAAAGCAACATGGTCTTCATACAAACACTCTAACACCTTAAAACAGTTAATAGCCATTACTCCAAGTGGAGCTATTTCATTTTTATCTGATGTTTACAGTGGCTCAATTTCTGATGCAGCTATTGTAAGAGAATCCAAATTTGTAGACTTAGTGGAAGAAACTGATGATATAATGGCTGACAGAGGGTTTAATATTCGGCATCTTCTTCTGCCAAAGAAGGCTACTTTAAATATACCTGCTTTTACACATGGGAAGGTGTTAAGTTCTAAGGCTTTGAAAAGATCTAGAGGTATAGCCAAAGTCAGAATTCATGTGGAGAGGGCAATATGTAGAATGAAGACCTTTAAAATTCTGTCCGGCATCATACCACTTAAATTCAGATTTATTTTATTTCAAATCACCAAAATTGTTGCAGTTTTGTGTAACCTTCAGCCTTGCCTTGCACAATGACTCCAATACTCTGGGTTTCCCCTGTAAATTGGGAACATAACCGATATCCAGATATCATATAGTTGCAGTTTTGGTGAAGTTTTTGCATGTAAAACAAAGCAAAAAATAGAAAAAGATAGATGTATTATCATAGATATATTTATTTTCCATATCTATTGTGTAAAATCATGTTCATAAAGTTGTTAGCAATATTGAACAATACAATACTACACATTTCAGTGACAATGATTGTTTGTCAGAATAACAAATACACTAATTATAATAGTATTACAAATCATGAAATTTATATTCAAGAACAATAATTGTAATGTACATGTTTTATGATGTTCTATCAGACTATCATTCTTGACACATTACATTATTTTTACCATAGTCTCTTAGTATTCATAGTATGTAACATCTTGTGACTTATACATTGAAACAAACCTGTTAATGAGAAAAATAAAACAACATGGCTGAACGAGAATAATGTTTTCTTTGTTTGTTTTGGTGTTTTATTCAATACCATGGTAGTCAGTAAACCTACCCACAATTACTGGCAAAGTCCAGGCTTCTGTCACCCAAACTGTTTACCAGTACTAATGAATGGTAACAATTAAACGCATACTAATTAAGGTAACGTTAGAGCAAACGACCGGTTGTGTAATTTACACATGTCACACAAGTTGATTGGAAATCATCTTCGCAGCTAAAAATCGTGTGAAAAATGTCTCGAGATCAAAGGTGTCAAAATAATCAAAGGACTTCAACTTATTTGTGGTAAATAGTACTCGATTGATTCTTTACGGACAATGAAAAAACTTCGACACATAAACTCCTAATAGAAGTTCGACTCCTAGAAGTTCTACAGTAGCTCTTTAATAACTGATTGCTTTTAGCAGATATGCATACAAACTGTAACAAAAATAAATATATTGTTGATGTCTAAAGAAAGTCGCCTTAATGTTTTCAATTAAAAGCGTTATACATTTTTATGTGGTACAATTTCCATAACATGGTTTGTTAAATAATATAAACATGTTTCTGTTGAAAAAAATAAATGAACTAAGAGAATTTCAAGTTTGTATTAAAAATTCAACTTTAAATAGTGATGCAGTATCAGTTAGTGATGCAGTATCAGTACGGTACTGGCAAAATGACTACAATCAGTATTTCTTGTTTCAGAAAAAAATTGGATTTTTGTTAATTATGTCCTACATATAGCTTCAATACATAAAATGAGGAAGTATCATGAATGTCTATAATCATACTTGTGACTGCTGCACAGAATAATGTTCTATTGACATCACAATTAATATTAATAATGAAGAACCATCTCCCTGAACCCCGCCCCTTTGTTACAATGATGTTGAAGATTAAAGGTAACTTTGACCACTATCATTTATCCTATTTCAAGTATTATTAATTGAGTTACTACAGTGTTGCAATTAATATTGTAAATAGATGCCCTCATTTTGTGCATGTAAAACTGCATTAAGTCTAGTTACTACTGTCTTGCGCTCATAATAATTTTCAAAATATTACCATTTGAGCGCAAGAGTGTAGTAACTCAGCACAGTCCAAATATCTAAGAAAGAAAAAAAGATTAACATTGTTTTGTTAATTTATTTGCTTTCTTCTACACTTTCTTTTCATATTCTAAGAAATCTTAATTAAGAAATGATAGAATAACATTTAAAACAGAATGTTTTTTGCTTCTCTTGTAAAATTTACAAATATACAGTTACTACAGTCTTGCGCTAAACCCTCGATATACAAGTGCTAGAATGAAAAACAATCACACATATTTATTTGAACTACCTTAATTTCCAATGTTAATTTTTTAAGCTGTTTGCCTGTATACCTAATATATACGATGGATAATGATTTTCCTATAATTCATGTACGTTAAACCAAGGAAAAGTGTCTTTGTCCGACGCCAGATTTTTATTTCGCTTAAAAATTCTTCCGCAACAATGGAAAATGTAATGCCAGTCCAAATCACTGTGGAAGCTACATAGCACTTTTAAAGATATATTGTAATAAAGCGTCAGTCATCTTGCATCTAAGGTGAATGTTGAAATGATTGTCTTGTTTAATGGACTCGACAGCTGCTTAAACACAACACTTGAGCCATTAACACAAATCTTAAAGCAAATCATGTCTTGAGTTATATAACACGTAACAAAGTGGCTATCAATAATTGAAAATATGATGACCTTATAATACAAAAAAAATATGTATTTATAGTTGTCTGTCAACAAGAATTCACTGAAGAGTAGTTTGCTTTTTAAAACGTTACCACGGTTAATAATTTATTCATAAACTGTGGTTTACAGTTCTGTTTCACATACACTTTCGAGATCTGGTGTATTGTTCTTTAATAATCCTTCGGGGTGGCCTTTATGCATGAATCTTTTAACTACCCTCAATTTTACCAATGCAGAATTCACGATACTTTTAAACCGTTTGGGTTTCCTTGAGTCAGAAATTAAATTTGTTGGGTTACCAGACATTGGTGACGATAACATGCGCACATATTCCTTTTTGACGTTTTCGGTAGTTGAAATTTGAATGGTACCCGGGCGAAGGGTAACCGATGCATCGGGAAAAGCGATTTTGCGTTTATTTACCTCTGCGACTGAACTTCGGTGATGCATGCAGGCGTTTAGCGGGTCACGTATAGCACATGTGCTTTTCTCTACTGTTATTTCTGAAGAATGGTGCGTATCTGCTTGTTCTCGGGTAGAAACGGAAGACCTATGGCAAATCTCTAGCTCACTCGCGAGGTCCAAATCGCTGCTTGTCATAGACTCTGAACTTTCTCGTGGATAGTATGACGTGTTGCTATCATTTGAAAATGTCCTATTTTTGATTGGACAAGGTGTTTTGGCCAAATTATAGCTTGAGCATGTACAGAAACTTTGTAAGCAATTATTATTTTTAAACAGTTTCCGTAGACTACTGGTAATGTGCGAGTAATGTCCTGTTCCATCTAGTAATTCAAGCAAAAACTCAGCTCCATTTTGTTGGTTCCAGCATGACTCAAGAACAGCTTCCCATAAGTCATCTTGTTGGCCGACACTTTTGTTACTTGAATTTATACTTCCATAAAGCTGCTGATTTATGACATTCTTGCTGAATAACTCGTCTATGATAATCTCCACATCAACGCTGTTCTTCAACTGACAAACTGGGCATCGTCTGGAAATTATATGCTTCGGTCTCAACCTAAGACCTGTCTCATAATGGTGCCATATTTGTTTCGAAAGGTAGGGGTAAGCAACTTTAAGAGCATCAAGAAATTTGATCATTGTTTCGTAACTTCTGTTAGTTATGATGAGCACGACTGACCGCACTTGCCTTTTTCTGTCATCACTTTTGTATATCAGCCTACGGTCATCCTCTGTAAGACATCCATTCTCAATAGCGCTATCTTCAATCTCGTCCACTTTAACATCGGCTGTTAGATTAGGAATGCAGGATTTTATGGCGTCTGCTAAGGTATCTGGAAACCGAAAAAAGTGAATATAACATATACTACCTTTGTGCGTCCGTCATTATAAACTTACTAAGATATTTAAAAAAAAAATGAAATTACATGTTTCATAAATATCTTAAAAACAGCATCCATGTAACTATAACATGAAATTACATGTATTTTTTTAATGATAAGGAATAAACGATAAGTACATATACATATATAAATATGTAATTTTAGGTAGGAAAGCACAGAGCACCTTTTTCAGACGTACTAGAAACTCATAAGTCTTAGAATCTTCTATACATGTATTTACCTCTTTCTCGTCTTTTCCGAATTTTCTTACGAGGTTTGTGAAGATGGCAGCTGTTCACGCGCTTCCTGCCTGTATAAATATTATGGACACTCATTATCAACGAGCACTAAAATTCTTTTCTTTACGTCCGGATGTAATTCTTCTATACATGTACTAGGGTAATGGCTTTGGGTGACACTTTTCTGTTATCTATCTGATTTCCTGGAAATATTCAAAACATTTTTATTCAATTTGAATTAAGTTTCAATTTTCAAGTGACGCAAATATTTAAAAAAAGTAAAAGAACAAATCAAAGTTACCATAAAAAAATCTCATTTTTATTAAAGTTTAAGTAAATTTTGATTGTGTATTTATTCCATTTCATTTTACGATTACAAAAGATCCATATCAAGCTACCAAGTTCTGTCGAAATATTAAAAATTGATGGTGCTAGCGGCACATCCAATATAGGTTTAACAGCACCAGAATTCGGTAGTCGTATCAACCTTATATTAATTTATAAAGTAAAAATAATGACAGCTAAGAGATGTCTATTCTTAGCTTTGTAGAATAATATCTACAGGGTGACCTACTAGCATTAATATAATTTTACAATCAAACATTGTAAACAGTGTTATCATTGTACTGTTTAAATAATAATATAATATTATCATATTTTACTATTGGGCTCATTTTACATTAGCAAATTCATTATGCTAAAGATAGCGTAATCCAGTTGTCAGTATGCAAACATGCATTTTTATCAACATGTAAGTCAAGTTTTATACCGCCATTTGCGTAAATTAAAGAAAATATTAATTTGGTGGCTTTATCAACCGTCTTTATTTATTGGCCATTGATCATGAGAAGTTAAATAGAAACAGTCAATACTTGTACTCGGATATTGTCATTACTTGTACACAGTAGTCAAAAATAAAAATTATATTGACGTCTCTGGGTCAGAATCTCGAGACAGGCACAAAATAGCACAATATCTCGTCGCGCAGTACTATTAATAATTATATTAGTTTGACTATTGTACAGTACACAGTAGAGATTGTCTTTACTTGTACACAGTGAATATTATCGTTGTACATGTACATAGTAGAAATTGTCGATTGTTTTCAGCAGAAATTGTCTGTACATGTACTGGTATCCTTCGATCATATTTACCGGACAATCGACAATTTGGGGTTTTTCTAATGTATTAACTGTTGGAGTTCCCCTCGCTGTATATCAAAATATTCATATTAATTCATGACTTTAAAATATTTTTAAACACAATGTCCGGTAAATTGAGTTAATTGTCTATACCTTATTTTTTTCTCTTATAATGCCCTAATTGAATGTCAAAATGTTATATGTCGTGCTTTATAAGGTAATTTTTACGCGAATTAGGAACCCAAAATCACTTGGGTATAATTTTATTGTTTTTCATGGTTTAAAATAAAAGTTATAGCGAAAAAAAAACAACATTATATTTAATTTAATTATGTTCTGTAATATGACGGATCCCACTACACAGTAAAAAGTGCCTGTACTTATGTTGCATATATTAATTTTGATATTTTGAGTAAAGTAGAACCTGTCGATACTTGTATACTGTAATAATACTTTGATATAATTCATTCTCGCCGACATAATACCTCGGATTTCCAACATATTGGACATTGCGAGAAGAAATTACATCAACGTGTATACTGTACAGAACAAATGTAAACATTTACTTGTATTAAACATTTTTGTACTTCTTTGAAACAACAAGTTTATGGTATAAAAAAAGATAGAAAAGTAAATTGTTAAAAATGCTGTATAACTTTCGTCCTTTCAGCCTTCTTCAGCGGCATTTATTATACATACAAATTATATATGTAGATGACATATACATGTATATTATACCTACATTGTACAATTGTAAATTAATGTTTATTTTCACATATAAATGTACAGTGGATGTGTATGAAATTTTATTGAGTATTGGCCTTATACATTAAAATACGCTGCCATTCATTAGAAATATACAAAAGGCTATGATTTAAAGTTTACGGTTATTAATAAAATTCGACTTACATGTTCCATATCTAATCCGACAGACAGTAGATACCAATATATTGTCAAAATAAACACACTTATCAAGACTATATTATGTTCATATTAATGTGCTGACCAGATTTTACATACATGTTGTATGACTCATATTTAAATGTCGGGCAGTTATCTGATAGGAGCCTAAAGATCGTGCTATGCTTTGATAAGTATCAAATAATTTTCAATTTTGTTAGAGATATTTTTACCATAAACGCTCATCTCTAATGTAGTTTTTGCGTTTATACTTAAATGATTTTAACAAAATAGTTTTTCAAAGATAGTGTTCACGATGAGAACGCCTTCTTCGTAACCCATGGATTCGGGGCGTACGATCAGGTGCCAGTACAAAACAGCAGTCCAATTATTTATGCATTAAGCTATCTGGATTGTGACAAATTAAATCTAATTAGAACTTACAATCAAGCGTAAATAAAGCACAAACTTGTTTTGCCCCTCTTTGAAACGTGGTTCATCTGTCGATCTGTACGTACGTACTGTTAACTTTGTCAAATGGATTTCACAAGAAGAGACAATGCCCATGGCATAATCCTCGTTTATTTTGAAATTATTAGATCAAGGTCATAGTAACATTATGTGTAAAATCTTTTATGTGCATCTGTTGGCCGATAAGCGGAATAACTGTACTAGTATGGGGAGAACCATAAAGGCAACTACAGTTTATGAAGTGAAAAAAATGGGCAAACTTATTGTGTTATTAGAAAGCCTGCAATGTTTTTCCTGGTCATCTTGGGTGTAACCATATAAATTTGGTATGTTTTAAAGGGTCTCTATGGAGGTCTGATGAAATGGGACAAAAAAAGTACACTTGTTTATCTAAAACCTGCAATTGGCAAGTGCTGTAATTTGTCTCAAATAAGGTAAAACATATTTAAAAAAAAATGAAAACGAGATAAAATATTGGTTTTCCTTCCTGTGTATCATTTTCATGTCCACCTGGACCTAAATTCTGATTGGCTCTCTTTTAGTATCGTTTTGAACATATATACCGTGCTATTTTGATACATAATGATATATCTATTGTGCAATACAGTTTTCTACGGAATGCCGTTAGGGCCATCGCCTATGAATGTGTTGATCTGAAACGCGATAGTCGATAGTACGATGGTGAAAACGCGAAATCACGAAACTACGATGGTGAAAACGCGAAATTACGATGATGAAAACGCGATAGTACGATGATGAAAACGCGACAGTACGATACTACGATGATGAAAATGCGATAAACTTTCGTGTTTTCACCATCGTACTATCGCGTTTTCACCATCGTAGTTTCGAGATTTCGCGTTTTCACCATCGTAGTTTCGTGATTTCGCGTTTTCATCATCGTACTGTCGTGTTTTCATCATCGTACTATCGCTTTTCATCATCGTACTATCGCGTTTTCATCATCGTACTGTCGTGTTTTCATCATCGTACTATCGCGTTTTCACCATCGTACTGTCGTGTTTTCATCATCGTACTATCGCGTTTTCATCATCGTACTATCGCGTTTTCATCATCGTACTATCGCGTTTTCACCATCGTAGTTTCGTGATTTCGTGTTTTCACCATCGTACTATCGACTATCGCGTTTCAGATTAACACATTCATAGGCGATGGCCCTAACGGCATTCCGGAATGCCGTTAGGGCCATCGCCTATGAATGGTTTGATCTGAAACGCGATACTCGACAGTACGATGATGAAAACGCGAAATCACGAAACTACGATGGTGAAAACGCGACAGTACGATGGTGAAAACACGATAGTTTATCGCGTTTTCATCATCGTAGTATCGTACTGTCGCGTTTTCATCATCGTACTATCGCGTTTTCATCATCGTGCTTTCGCGTTTTCACCATCGTAGTTTCGTGATTTCGCGTTTTCACCATTGTACTATCGACTATCGCGTTTTAGATCAACACATTCATAGGCGATGGCCCTAACGGCATTCCGTAGTTTTCCGATGCACTGGCCTACATATGAAATTGTAAATACATGTACTCGGGTCACGATTATAAATGGTTATCTATAAGTAGGCTGTTTAATTTTAACAAATTTCAAGGATATGTTATACTTCATATCAACTATCACACGATTAGTTAGTCATCTGAGCTTATGAAGAAGGAATCTTTTAACACAGGGATCATAGGTTCGAGCCCTAATCAGGTCATGACATTGTTTCTTCATATGACACCAGTACTGGTTGGTTCCAAGAAGCGGACTGAAAAGTAATTATTATATGTTGCAAGAACTTGTTTCGCAATTGAGCTTTAATAAAAATATTTAAACCATATACAACATTATAATACACCTTGCTCAATTATGACTAAAATCATTTTTCTTAGAGTAACTTAGAATTTCCCCAATGAGAAATAATTTAAGATTCATTCAGTACATGTATTCACTCTATTTGTCATGTGAGATTATCTCAGAACACTGAATTATTCATTCAAGTTGTGGTAGACAAACACCAAGTACCAAGGGCAATAACTACGATATTAGCTGGAAATCGAAATGTCACAATTCACATTACAGATAAATGAACTTGTACAAAATGTTATTGAGAATTTCCCAGATATTACTATACAGTTTAACCCTTCCCCCCCCCCCCCCCCCATGAGCATATTGTGAAAATGGCCGTTTTCACTAAAAAGCCTCCTGTTACAAGTTCAAACTGCTATGAAAAATGCTTCAATACTAATCAAACTTGGCACAAATGTTGACTGGACCATTGCCTTTGTAACGACATGCTCAGTATTAAATTTCCTGTTACCATGGCAACGAGGGGACATCTCAAAATTGCCAAAAATCACTATTTTGCCTCGATTTTTTCCATCAAAATTTATTTCAAAGTGCTGCAACTTCTCAAGGGATTGAGATAGAGTCAAAGGCTTTTCAGCGTTGGTTACACGTTACCTTATGATCGACCTGGGGTCATTTTTAGCCTCTCACAAGTCCAAAATCTGTTGGCGATGAGGGGG